ATCCACGTCTAATTTTGCAAGTAGAGTTGCCATTGTTAAAAAAAAGGATGGTACCAACAGAATGTGTGTCGACTTTCGTCAGTTAAACTCTATGGTGCTAAAAGACTATTTTCACTTATCACTTACCGACAATGTACTCGCGAAATTGCAGGCAGGTAGAATGTTTGTGGCCATTAAAGAGGCGAGCCGAAAATGTACCGCCTTTATTACAACAAAGCTCTATTCGGATTAACCAATTCGCCAGCAGCCTTTATAATATTTTTAAGCAGCATGTGGTATTCCAAGACTCAAATGTTGTAATGTACTCATAAATGCTCATCAATGTATTTGAGCTAGAAAAGATTCAAGCTATCTTCCAGATTCATTGAAAAGAATGTTAACTGAGTGCTAAGCTACACAGTAAAGGAAGTGGCACCAAAGCAACACGTAATGTAGAGTTCCCTAATTGAAGCCGATAATATTGTGGATTCTCGCCCGCTTACCCACCTGCCGGTCTTAGTTGAGCAGGAACCACCTCTAACACCGAACGGTCTACTCAAGGGAGTAATCAATGTGCCTGACATACCCAGCATCCACGAGCAGCCGGGCCAGAGATGCGCCACAAAGAAGCAGTGACGCGTTGCACGGCTATTACGGTACCATTCTTGGAAGCTGTGGGTTTTGGTTTACCTGCCTCCACTTGTGCGCCGCGTGAAATGGTGTGCGCGTGTCAAGGCGATACGTCATGGCAATGTGGGGTTTATATGCGACCCAGCCGTGCCACACAGGGAGTAGCGAAAGTTCCTCGATACGCCAATGTGCGAGTGGTGATGATAATCGAGTGCGATTTATGGGTCGCCCCTTGGCTAAACTAGCCGTACTGGATGTGAGTGAACAGCGTGTTCACGGGTCGGCGATACTGCGGGATGAATTGGGCTATCGATTGCTTAGTTTTAGGTATATTTTAAATGGTATTGATTTTTGCCCTCTGAATGTGCGGGCATATTGTTTTTGGCATGTTGCCGCCATTACTTAACCATTGCTTACTTTCTGTCGTGAGTTAAAAGGTAGCAGTAGAAAGGACTGCGGTAAGACTCTAGGGAAATATATGTCTAAGGTAAATATATGTCCTACGTAATTCGCTCTAAATAAAACACTTACACTACTGCGCCCAACACGCAGATATTTGGATGAACACGGCCAGCCGCCAGGCGTAAAATTTGCAGTGCTCAAATTGCAACTCAATCTTCGCTTGGCACTCAACAGTAACTACTTACCTACTTATTTACTTACACTTACTCTGACTAATCTAACTAAACTTAAGTACCGGTAAACATAGTACCAATACCAAAAGGTCGCAATATATGGCATTTACAACATTAGGGCTTATTAGAAGCTTTAATGTCTCGATAATAGAAGTTTTATCGCTGAAGTAAAAAATGTGACTGGTTTTTTTTACCAAAGAGTGGGAAGTTTCGCTCTGAGTGGTCTCTTGATTCCAAAAACAAGTTAAAAATTACTCTATCGGCTCGACTGTGTATGTCGAAGACAGGACAGTGGTTGCGTCGGATTGGATCTCGTTTCGAAAGACATTAATATTTGCCATGATTGGGCATCTGATAATAAATCTAAGCATTGAATTGTTTTAAAAACGCTTCCTCATTTTGATCTTCGCGTTTTTATTTCTCTACCAAAAAATAAAAATGTCAGCAGTTGGTGGACGGTGAAGATGTTAATTTCTCTTGTACCATATAGGTAGTTTTATCGCACAATGACCAACAACTCTCTTTTGTTTGTCATGATTAAGCATTTGAAAATAAATCTAAGCATTGAATTATTCTAAGAGAGCTTCCACAATTTGAAGTTGGTGGCCGGTGAAAATGTTTATTTCTCTTGTAACATATAGGTAGTTTTTTAGCAGAATGACCAACAACTCTTTTCTGTTTGACTCAGTTGAGCACCTTATAACTCAAAAATAGACTTCATTTATGAATATTTAGGGCTTTTAATTGGTAAGTGTCTAATATCGTTTCGATTTGAGTTTGTATTGGACCTTACTTTGTATTCTAAGATCAGGCGGTATTCTTTCCTTATTTCTCTATTTAAATCTGCCAAACTCATCCGCTTATAGCAGACTATTAGTGAACTAACACTTTTCACAACACAATAACGAACGCTATAAAGCCAATTATCAATACACAGTCACAAATATAATCAAAACCTGAATAAAAATATTATGCTTGTTATCACTTTGCCAACGTCGGCTTGCGCAATTTAAATTTAAATTTTACCCATATTTTACACGAATTTGAAGCCATTTTTTAGTAAATGCCACTTACATTTATGAGAGAGTGTAGATTTCTAACGCGTTTACGAGGTGGGTGACTGCCGCTGGCGCAAATTTAACAGACCATTGCCCCTAGAATACTGACAGAACAATTTAATACGTCAGCACTACAATTGCATGAGCTCGCCACATTAGCGAAAATTACTTGTTAACTTGCATACCACATGAGAGTCTGCTCACCAGAATTTAGTGTACCCATGAGTAATGCTTCGGTGAACCCTCCACACATAAGGAATGCCCAAATAAGTCGGGGTAATGAGGGGTCAACATTCATTCATCGATTCAAACTCAAAATCATAAAAAAGAAGGGCGCGCGACAGACGCGTGCCAAAAATGATATTTTCTTTTGCGACCATGATCTGCCCATTCACACACATTTGTGTCTGTGTGTGTGTGTGCGCAGAGCTCGAAATTCAGAAATCACAAAATATTGTCAAATTTGCATCGGACAGGCAGGCAGGGACCAACAGGCACACATGCGCATAAATGCTTCTATTCATATACAAAATATGCAAGTATGCGTGAATAGCAAGTCCAAAAACTTTTAAATGCACACATGCCAACGCTTAGGTACCCTTTCCAGCAATACCGAGCTAAAATGCAAGAATTTCGCATCGGCTTGGCAAACCCTTTCATTATTTCATATTACTCGTCCCCTCAAAAGGGAAGAAATGCCACCGACTTTTGACAAAAATTGAATTTGTGGGCATTTTTGCTTGTGCGGCCACATGCACACACAAACATTTAAACGGTACCTAGACATAAAGAGAGCTTTGAGAGCACTGCGAGTAAGTGCGAGCGAGATAAAAATAAACAGCGATGCCGTTCTATCGCACAAATCATATGGAAGAGAGTAAGCCAAAGCAGTTTCCTGTAGTGGGAGCGAGATAAAAAACAGCGATGCCGTTCTATCGCACAAATCATATGGAAGAGAGTAAGCCAAAGGAGTTTCCTGTAGTGTGAGCGATCAAAAGATGTCATATGTATATCTCACTCGCTCGTTGGACCAGATGCAAACCAATTTTTGGTGACCAACATTTTTTCACTGGTTGTCCGGTCTATATGTTTTTTGGTTAGTGCTATTGTGCATTTAAAGTGTATGAAACTAAAATACCAAAAATACTATTGACATTTGCAATATTTTGTTTTCAATAATTAAATATACATTTAATTGTAAATTTAACTTGAATATTTTGTAATTAATGTAAGCTATTAAATGTGGTTATATAATAAATTTAAAAAATAATATTATATATAAAAATTGATTTATTAATTATATTTATGTTTAATATTATTAATAGAATTTTAAGATTAATTTTTAAAATATGTATAAATGACTAGCGTTTACAATTCGGCTTTAACCATTTCTAGTTATTTCATTAAATTTGTATAATCAAATTTTAAATAATTAATTTCCCCCATTCTTGCGCTTGGCATATTAGTATCTTTCTGCACTACAATGAACCTGACATTTTATAATATATTTTAAATATATATTTAAAAATTCGTTTGAAGTGAACCGGACGACGGTAAGCAACAAAATATCACTCATCCGAAATATCCCAATGCTTAGTCGATTGCAACAGATCAACATATAATTTTTAGTAGGTTTCTGCATCTGCACGTCTAAGTCAACTAGCTTTCGCGTTATTAAGGCTCACATTGCACTCATACGGACGTTCCTGGTATGTATACTGTGGATAACAATAATAAGTTTGTATTAGAATATTTATTTTACATGGAGTGAAAAATTCAGTTACCAATAATGTCAAAGAATGATGCAATGAGTCACAAACGCAAAGTCCTGCTGTCTCTAAACTAAGGGATCATATATTAATACCAAATTAAAAGATGCATTAATAAAAAGATTTACACCAGTCAACATTATCAAGATATTTATATTTACTAAAATATTTGTTTAAAAAATCAAACAAAAGAATATTATTTATAGATTTTGAAGCAGTTTAAACAACGTAGGCATTAAGGGGCATAATGACCTTAGCTTGAGGCCAATGTGGAATTTCTGTTGCTGGGTCAGACGCATCTGTTAAAGTTTACCACAATTATCTCAAACATTCATTATCGTCGCCTTGGGTCGCTGTTACACTTTGCGTGTTAACCTGCGTGTTGCGGGACGAATTAATTTATCGATTGTTTAGTATTAAGTATATTCTGAAAGTATGTATTTTTGCCCTGTGAATGTACGGGCACATTGTATTTGGCTTGTTGCCGCCATCACTTAAATGTTAAGCTCATTATTGTCGTGAGTTAGAAGGCCGTAGGAGGGAAGACTGCGGTAAGATTCTGAGGGAATATATATTTAAGTTCTAACCTATATAATCCGTTCAGAATAAAACACTTGCACTAGCACGTTTTGCATTACGCTGTCTCTATTAACATCGGAGTAACATGGCCAGGGGCCAGGCGTAAACCTTGCAATGTTCAAATTGCAACTCCGCCTTCGTTTGGCACGCGACATGATCTTTTATTCGCAGTTCTTATTGTAAGAAACTGCAAGGGCGACTTGCACTGGAGACACGACGTGGTGTAAGTTTGGAGTTACAGTGCGTGTAGATAGACACAGCACAGGCAGGGCCTCCACCCCAGTTATAGAGTTACCATTGGTACGCAGCCAGCGTAAAATATAGTAGAAGTCATCTCCGAGCTGAACAGGATGACACAACGGTCTCCCAGGAAAAGCCCACGCCTGAATGATGGCCAGGAGATAACTACCACGGCGAGTGAGGCGCAGCCGAAGCGGACAAGTAGAATGGTGAGCACTGTATCACAAATGCAAGTTCCCGCTGTGAGCGCGCCACAAAGCCCCAGCACCGTGGATGTGGGCACAAGTTTACAACCTGCCGGCACTGTGGCCGCAGGAGTGAGTGCACGAGCCAGCATATTGACAGGAGCGCCAAGCCCAAGCACGCAACTCTCAAGTGCTCAAGTCATGGATTTGATAAAGAGAGTCGCTGCGCTAGAGCACGAGTTGCAGAGGTCAAAAACTGGTCAAGCACATGTGAGTACAGTTACTGATCCCGTTAAATTGAGTGATGCTGGCGTGGGTCGTACAGCTAACCTGCCGCCATTTTTGAGTGGAGAGCCATCGTCGAGTGGAAGTTTGAGTGAAACTGCAATTATGAGTGGAGTCCCAAATTCAAGTGTTAGTTTGAGTGAAACTGCAATATTGCGTGGAACTGCCATTTTGAGCAGATCGCCATCTTTGAGTGAGGCATTGCCTACTTCATTGAGTGGAAATTTGGGACCACAGTTGCAAACGGTAGAACGAGCTCCAGTTATGGATAACTGTTCTACAACATCAAGCCGCTCGACGCCATATTGTTCTGCAGGCATTGCGCAGTCAACGCTCAGCTACACGCCGGCACAAGAGAACCAACCTGTGATCATTTTGGAGCCAACGCAGGCAACTGGGAACTTCGCATGGGCGACACCCAGGAACGATGTATGCCTGCTACGCAAATTACCAGATCTACCCGAGTTTGGAGGCCAACCTGAGGATTGGCCTATATTCTTCTGCGCGTTTACGGAAACAACTTTGGCGTACAACTGTAAGAATCTGGAGAATAACCAGCGATTGTTGAAGGCACTCAAAGGCGAAGCACGTGATACTGTGAAGTCGTTGCTCATACATCCCAGGAATGTGAACAACGTGATGGAACAATTACGTTTTAGATACGGCCGCCCAGAACAACTAATACGTAGCCAGCTAATTAGTATTCGAGAGGTGCAGCCAATTCAAGAGCACAGCATAGCGAAAATCGTGCCATTTGCTACACGAGTGAGTAACCTTGCCGCCTTTCTACAATCAGCTAACGGAGAACAGCATTTAGCGAATCCTACACTGATGGAGGATTTGGTCGCTAAGCTACCACCAAGCAAGAGGGTGGAGTGGGCCAGACATGCAGCTACGATTAGGCCTTTCCCGACTGTCGTACATTTAAGCGAGTGGTTAACGGACTACGCCAATTTGGTATGCACGATTGTGGACGTCGATGGTAAGGAGCAGAAGCGTAGAGTGCTGCATGCCAGCATTGACCAGAATAATGGAGGGCGACACCGAGGTCGCACCAAACAGTGTCCAATCTGTAATGGACAACACGCAGTCAGGGACTGCAACGAGTTTAACTTAGCCTCTCCGCTAAAAAGGTGGACGTTTCTAAAAAGGCACCGGCTTTGTTTCTCGTGCCTACGAGATGGCCACATGGCAAGAGTCTGCAAAAGGGCAAACGAATTTCAAGTCAATGGATGCCGGAAGAGGCATCATCGCCTTTTACATGATCATGATGCTATGAGTCACAATGCACCGCAGCCAGCAGGTGATAGAGTGATGAATATTGGACGGATGCCGCAGCCAGCGGATCCGCACACAAGAGCACCGCAGCCAGTGGATGCTCAATTGACGCAACAAAGGAATTTAAGTTGTGTCGATTCGGATGGAGAACGCCTACTATTCCGCATATTGCCAGTGACATTGCACGGGGCCAATAAGCGGATCGATACGTATGCGCTCCTCGACGAGGGCTCGTCCGTAACTATGATAGACGACGAGCTACTGCGCGACCTAGATGTCAAAGGGGAACGCAGGCAACTAAATATACAGTGGTTTGGTGGAAGAGCAACCAGAGAGCCGACCACAGTGGTAAGCACGGAAATTAGTGGAGCGGACAAACGCAAACGTTATGTGCTGCGAAATGTGTACGCCGTGTCCAACTTGAGCTTACCAATGCAAAGTCTGCATCGACGTGATGTACAAATGTTGGACAACGGTGCACGACTTCCAATGAAACCGTATCGCGGGGCGGTACCAAAACTTCTGATTGGACTTGACCATGCGCATCTTGGACTGCCAATGCAAACAAGAAGGTTTGCACCACAGGGACCATATGCTGCAGCCACCGAACTTGGATGGGTGGTTTTTGGGCCGGTAAGAGGTCAGCTGACGGCAACGTCAACAAAGTCATGCCTCCTAGCAGTGTCGCAGGAGGATGCAATCCAAAAGATGGTAAACGACTATTTTGATATCGAGAACTTCGGTGTGAAGCTTACGTCACCAGTCGCAGCCAGCGACGATGCACGAGCGCAAAAGATACTCGAAGACACCACGGTGAAAATAGGGGATCGTTACCAGACAGGTTTATTATGGAACCGTGATAATGTTGAGTTGCCACGAAGCTACGATATGGCATACAAAAGATTGGTGTACATTGAGAGAAAGATGAAGCGTAACGATCAGTTTAAACGAGCCTATATGAAAATTATGGACGATTATGTTCATAAAGGATATGCTCGACGCTTGAAGCATCATGACAAACTTTGGTATCTGCCGCATTTTGGAGTTGAAAATCCAAATAAGCCCGGTAAGATAAGACTGGTGTTCGACGCGGCAGCAAAGGTCGGTGACATTTCTTTGAAATGGCATTATCCAAGGGGCCGCAGCACTACAAGTCGCTGCCGGCTGTTCTCTTCCATTTCCGGGAAGGTGCGGTTGGCGTTTGTGGAGACATCAGAGAGATGTTCCATCAGGTGTTGTTTCGACCGCAGGATAGATGCGCCCAGCGACTCTTGTGGCGAAACGGCGATGATCGCCGGGAGCCTGATGTTTATGAGATGAGGGTAATGACATTTGGAGCAGCATGCTCGCCAATCACCGCGCACTATGTGAAGACCTTGAATGCCCTGCAGTATCAGGATTCAGACCCTCGCGCGGTTAAAGCTATTCTTGAATGTCATTATGTGGACGACTATGTGGATAGTTTTGATAGTGAAGGCGACGCCATCGCCATATCAACAAGAATAAGAGAAATACATGCAAATGCTGGATTTGAATTGTGCCAGTTTACTTCTAGTTCGCCAACCGTAGCCGACGCCCTGGGCAAACACTGGGCTGCTAGGAGCATCGGATGCGGCGAAGCTGAAGAAAAGATTCTGGGCATGTGTTGGCAGCCAGCCACGGACGATTTCAAATTCAACATGAAGTACCACAAAGTACCCCGATGTGTGCTAAATTTGGAGCGAGTACCTACGAAGAGGGAATTCTTGAGCTTGATCATGTCAACATTTGATCCTTTGGGATTTCTTAGCTGTCTCATGATAACTGGAAAGTTACTTATGCGTGAGATCTGGCGACGAAATGTGCAATGGGATGAACCCTTACCAGATGAGATCGCCCGCGCCTTTAGTAAATGGCTTCAGGATATGAACAATGTGGAAGGATTTCGAAGCTCGCGCCATTACTTTGGCCCAATACCCGTGCGGGCAATACAACTGCACGTTTTTGTCGACGCTAGCCAGTCAGCATTCGCAGCTGTGGCTTACTTAAGGGTAACCTACGACAACAACGACGTGCGAGTATGCTTCGTATGTGCCAAGACGAAATGTGCCCCAATGAAAACGATGTCAATTCCACGACTGGAATTGCAAGCTGCTGTGTTAGGAACGAGGCTGATGGACACTGTCAAAAAGGAGCACAGTATAGCGATCAGCGATGCCATACTATGGACCGACTCAAAGACAGGGCTGCGTTGGATAGGCAGCACCCACCGTCGATATAAGCAGTTCGTCGGAAATCAAGTGGGAGAAATTTTGGAGTCAACAAAGGTTTCCCAATGGAGATGGGTACCTACTGCTGAAAATGCAGCAGACGACGCAACCAGGCCGCACTGCCACGTAGACCTCAGCCAACGGTCACGATGGTTAGACGGGCCAACATTTTTGCGGCAGCCGGAAAGCAGCTGGCCGCAGCCCGAACCGGGCACCGAACACTCATCCTGCGATGATGAAGAAGAGATGCCGAGTGAATTTGCCTTAGTTGCAGCAAATAACTTTTTCATTTCATTTCAGAGATTCTCTAGCTACAGTCGGCTGGTGAGGACGACGGCTTGGGTTCTAAGGTTCACGCGCTGGTGCCGTGGACATAGGACTGAGCTTGAGAGATTCGGCCTCACCGCTACGGAATCTGAGGACGCTGAGAACTTGCTGATACGGCGAGCGCAATGAGAAGCATTCCCTGACGAGGTTCGAGCCTCGTACAATGGAGAATCAGTCGGTCATCGAAGCGAAATAAGAGGGCTGGCGCCCTACTTGGATGACAATGGAGTCTTGCGTGCGTATGGCAGGATCGATGCCGCACTGTGTATACCGCATAGTGCGAGAAGGCCAATAATCTTGTCACACCGGCACGCACTGACGGAACTGATTGTGTATCACTACCATGTGAAAATGAAGCATCAAAACGTGGATGCAACGATGGGCGACATCAGGACCAGATTTTGGATAACAAAGCTGCGTCGAGTGTTGCGTACAGTAATATCTGGATTTAGTGTGTGCAAGCTACATAGAGAGCAGCCAGCGCCACCTATAATGGGTCCTTTGCCAGAGGACAGACTGGAGGCCAATGGATGGCCATTTAAGTTTACGGGTCTGGACTACTTTGGACCACTTCTTGTGACCATCGGACGTCGAAAGGAAAAGAGATGGGTTGCCTTGTTTACGTGTCTGACAACAAGGGCCATACATTTGGAGTTGGCACATGACCTGTCAAATGATTCCTGCATAATCGTGATCAGGAACTTTCTTTGCCGTCGCGGGCCTGTACTGAGGTTGCGCAGTGACAACGGAAAGAATTTTGTTGTGGCCAATAGAGAAGCCAAAAGGCTCATAGATGTATTCGAGCCGGAGAAGATTCAGGGTGAGCTATCTTCTAGAGGCATTGAATGGATTTTTAACTGCCCAGCGAACCCAGCTGAAGGAGGAGCCTGGGAAAGGATGGTGCAATGTGTCAAGAGAGTGCTTCGCCACACAGTAAAGGAGGTGGCACCGAAGCAACACGTGTTGGAGAGTTTCCTGATTGAGGCCGAGAATGTTGTGAATTCGCGCCCGCTTACTCACTTGCCAGTATCTGTGGATCAGGAAGCCCCCCTAACACCGAACGATCTACTCAAGGGAGTAGCCAATCTGACTGACACACCCACTATTCATGAGCAGCCGGACGAGAAATGCGCCACAAGGAAGCAGTGGCGCATAGCGCGGCTATTACGAGATCGATTTTGGAAGCGGTGGGTCTTGGAGTACCTGCCTACACTTGTGCGACGCGTGAAATGGTGTGCGCGCGTTGAGCCGATACGCCATGGTGATGTGGTGTTTATATGCGACCCAAACGTGCCACGCAGGGAGTGGCGAAGGGGCATAGTGGAGGAGCTCTACTCTGGACCAGATGGAGTACCTCGACGCGCCGTCGTACGCGTGGCGGACGGCAATCGAGTGCGACTGAGGACTCGTCCCGTGGCTAAACTAGCCATATTGGATGTGAGTGAAGCAGGGCCTAAACGGGGGCGGGGATGTTGCGGGACGAATTAAGTTATCGATTGTTTAGTATTAAGTATATTCTGAAAGTATGTATTTTTGCCCTGTGAATGTACGGGCACATTGTATTTGGCTTGTTGCCGCCATCACTTAAATGTTAAGCTCATTATTGTCGTGAGTTAGAAGGCCGTAGGAGGGAAGACTGCGGTAAGATTCTGAGGGAATATATATTTAAGTTCTAACCTATATAATCCGTTCAGAATAAAACACTTGCACTAGCACGTTTTGCATTACGCTGTCTCTATTAACATCGGAGTAACAGGGCCAGGCGTAAACCTTGCAGTGTTCAAATTGCAACTCCGCCTTCGTTTGGCACGCGACACTGCGTGACATCTGCAAAAATTCAAAATGCAATTGAGATAACTATCTATTTTCGTAGATTAGCTGATTGATACTTACGGGTATCCCAGCGCAGAAGTGCATTGTCTGATCGTGGCGGGTGCTAACATTTTAACCAAGATTTTTGGCCATACATATTCTCCCTCGTTGGGATTGCTTGGGGATATCCAACAGACACTTTATCTAATTGTTCAAAAAATAATATAAGAAACAAGCTAAATTTGTATTCTTGTAAAATTATAATAATAATTACGTGCGCGTGCCTAAACAATGCGCACGTATATATGTACATATGCGTGCACATATGATCACACTTTACACTGATTATCACACATACAGAGTTTGTACGCATACTGCCATGATCTGCCCATTCACACACATTTGTGTCTGTGTGTGTGTGTGCGCAGAGCTCGAAATTCAGAAATCACAAAATATTGTCAAATTTGCATCGGACAGGCAGGCAGGGACCAACAGGCACACATGCGCATAAATGCTTCTATTCATATACAAAATATGCAAGTATGCGTGAATAGCAAGTCCAAAAACTTTTAAATGCACACATGCCAACGCTTAGGTACCCTTTCCAGCAATACCGAGCTAAAATGCAAGAATTTCGCATCGACTTGGCAAACCCTTTCATTATTTCATATTACTCGTCCCCTCAAAAGGGAAGAAGTGCCACCGACTTTTGACAAAAATTGAATTTGTGGTCATGTTTGCTTGTGCGGCTACATGCACACACAAACATTTAAACGGTACCTATACATAAAGAGAGCATTGAGAGCACTGAGAGTAAGTGCGAGCGAGATAAAAATAAACAGCGATGCCGTTCTATCGCACAAATCATATGGAAGAGAGTAAGCCAAAGCAGTTTCCTGTAGTGGGAGCGAGATAAAAAACAGCGATGCCGTTCTATCGCACAAATCATATGGAAGAGAGTAAGCCAAAGGAGTTTCCTGTAGTGTGAGCGATCAAAAGATGTCATATGTATATCTAACTTGCTCGTTGGACCAGATGCAAACCAATTTTTGGTGACCAACATTTTTTCACTGGTTGTCCGGTCTATATGTTTTTTGGTTAGTGACAATAGCCTCCGCCAAATCGAAAATTCGATATTTTTAATGATTCATCATCGATAGTTAGCAGCTCTCATTCGCTCATCTCAAAGCGCTGACGATAGTTCAAAAATTATCGGAAATTCATCGTGAAGTAGTATCGTTGTTGCACGACACTTTACAATCGTGCTACCACCGCGCTATCGCAACTTTTAATTGCTTATATTTAATAAAATACGCTATAAAGTTAAGTTCCGCCGCCGAGAAAAAACTACGTGGAATCGATACCATCCCCGACTTATTTGGGCATTCCTTATGTGTGGAGGGTTTACCGAAGCATTACCTGTATTTGAATATGTTTTTTATGGGTTCGATGATGGCTCGTTCTGCCTGTTACATTTATTTGCGCAAACCCATTATAGTGTTATTTTGACCCATATATAATGGGTTCAGGATTTAAAAAACGACACTATTTCAGTTGTACAAGACCTCGATTCTTGAAGCTCAGCGATGGGTTGTATACATGTAAAAATATAATAAATATAGTTAATCTAAGTATAGTCCACCTTAAAATGTTTAAGTTTTAATTTAATTTTCGATTTATTTTCCAAATATGTAGAAAATTACGATTATTTCAATCATAGTAAACAGTGACGCTATGTTGGTTACCTAGTAGGCAAATATCCTCAGTATCGTCGATTTTGGCTATTCCGTTTTATGAAATAATCGAAAATCAACATTGTTATACAACTCTTGTATTGGTATACGTATTTATTCATATGTATGTAAATTTGTATTAAATACGTTTTTTATTTAATTTGTATAATTGATATTGGAACATTCTCATAATCTATCCAAATTAAATTATGGTATGGTATAAGATACTACGAATGTGCTCTAAATATATTATAAAAGACCACACGTTAGCTTGTAATATGCACAGTTGGTAAATCATTTATGTGTAAGTAGTAGCATTCACAAACGCTTAAATTGACATGATATGTCAAATAATAATATTTTTATATGCATAGGTTGTCAATATTTCCAAGCTTCATATAAATATACGTATGTGTGGATACATATATTGTACATTATGGATATATACACTCGTATGTATGTAAATTTATTGCGAAATGTACATTTACGACGATGAATATACACATATATAATATATAAATAGCTATTATTATATAGCGATACTCATTGTTAACAATTCAAATATATGTAATTAACTCCAGGAATTTATTACATTAGTATGTTGTGTACATTTACGTGTCGACAGACTTAAGTGCATACCATTGTTCGAAGGGGTCAAATGAACCTCCGTATGTACATAAGTTTGTATATGCATACAGAAGATGCATAAAAATTACTGAATTCACTAAAAAAAATTGAATGCGAATATTACTGTAAAATTTATATATATTCCATTGATATATTATATCTTGCCCGTGGCAAGTTTTGTGCCTTAAATTGTAAATATAAGTTCAACTATTTCCAGTCCGCAGAATATTTAAATATACACGTACTATCTTGAACTTCATGTCTTAAGCTATCTTTTATATACATAGATAGTTGAAATTCAGTTTTAAGTTCATCGAGATTCATTGAGAATCTTTAAGCTGAAAATGAACTTTCGTTCAATAATCCTTTGACCTTCACTTTCCTTTTAAAAGCGGTGGATTTTGCGAAGATGATTTTGAAGCCGATTAGATGGTAAACAACAAATTTTGATACATCCGTTTTCCGCCATTTACTACAGTTGCGGGGATTTCCAAAATCGTTCCAACACATATTTATTAAGTTCTTACGAAAAGTTCTTTTAAAATAAGTTTAAAGTCGATCGGAAAAAACTCAAAGCGTTCCGCAAAAAATCTTCGTAGCGAATGCTCCACCAAGGAAGCTTGGATTCTGCGAAATAATTTTTCATGGGTTTAATGAAAACTTAATTGGAATAATAATCTATGTATGAAATTTCCCAAAACCCTATCTTAGCGTGAACCTCCAGCGCATTAGGTAATCACAGTAAGAATTTCACCTTCGTAGCTCTTCATTCGGTCAGAACTACTAGCGCACCATCCAAGCCGTAACAGAAAGTTGAAATTTCCAAAGCAGTTTTATGATATTAGCGACTTAACACTCGGTATTTGGGAAATTTGCTACGAGCAAATGAAAACTGTTTTCATTTATTTTATATCATCCGATTGTCCTAACTCGTAAGAAATCTATGTGTGTACAAATGCATTTGTATTGTAAAATATCAGCCAAATCTATATTTATGTATCTCATCCTGTTGTTTTCACACCTATCTAAGGGATATGGGCCCTACCTTTGAAATCTTAAACATATCACGCGCATATCACTTTATTTCAAATTATTGATAGTTCCCCTGCTTTCCTAAAATCTATAAGTATAGATTTTTCGTCCAGTACTTAAATCATTACTTTACAAATGTCGATTTGTTGGTGTTAACTACACACATGTGGACCCTAATTTCAGCTCTAATTTTTTTGTGTACTATCGGACAATAAATACGAGTTATTCAAGAATACATTTTCAAGAGTGTGGAGCTGGAGCTTCCACCCTTTAATATGGCAGTTGCATATTACTTTTAATAGACGGAAGAAGACATATACCACAAAATATTATATATAGTAAATATTTTTAATATTTTTTTTTGTGGCGTACTTTCCAAATTATAAATATTTAGCTGGCCTCGAGTCTGGGATTTTATTATAAACAAAAAAGGAAACAATTTTGTTTCAATTTGTATTTTCCGATATATTTCGGCTGCGAATCGGCAACCGTCTTTAGGGCACTAACAAAAAGAGTCAAAAAAATGTACAATAAAATAAATGTAATTAAACAATTAAAAAACATTTGACATACATTATTTTTCACGGTCGCGCTTCTTGACGTGAAGATTGACACTGTTTGGATATTTAATAAGAGTTTATACAAGTGAGCTTAATTTTCTGTGTCTGTTTTGTAGTTTAGTAGTTTGTTGTTTGGTGTGCTTATTATGTGTTGTTCAAGATATCCATACTCGGCATTAACCTTTTTCCCTGTGCTCCTTATATACATACGGGCAAAGCACTATGAGCATTATTAAAAGGTTGGCTCTGCAAGGGTATTAAATCTTCGGCGTGACCGACTGTATGAAAAGCAACCACACACCAAACTTTGATATAACAAAAAAAATACACCAAGAACAACACTATAACAAACGACATACATTGGAAATGGTACACATAATAAGCACACCAAACAACAAACGACTTAACTACAAAATAGGCATAGAAAATTAAGCTCAATTGTATAGACTCTTATTGAATTGCCAAATAGTTTCAATCTCCATGTAAAGAAGCGCAGACGTGCATAATATTGTATGATAAATACTTTATTAATTGTTTAATTTAATTTATTTTAATGTCAATTGCTTTTTGTCTCTTGGTGTTAGTGCCCTGAAGACGGTTGCCGATGCGCAGCACTTGTTTCCTTGGGTGTGTTCCATTTTTCTTTTTAATAAAACAGCGGGCCTCGAGCCAGCTAAACAAATATTTGTATATATTTTTTATTAGCATCAATGGACGTATTGGTCGATCAAGCGATATCGGTCCATCCATCCGCCCGCCAGGGTGAACACGTTATCTCGAAACTTTAACGGCTAAATGTACCTGGTTTGGGATATATTTTTGTGGATGCTATACGCAGGTCAGGTTTATTTCAATAGTTTTAATTTTCAGCTCCGGTTTTTTAAGAATATGATGGAGATTGTAAAGGTAAGAATTTTAAAATTTATTGTAGTTTTGCTATTGGCTTGCACAGATCAAGAGTATTTCGCTTTTTGCACAACTCGCATTTTGTAACCCAACAAAAAACAAGTGAGAGTGCTCTAGCCGGGAGTGCCGGCTTATGGATATCCTGAAGCTTGTTCTCCCAAAGGGATATTATTGCATTAAAAAAAAAAATTTGATAGAACGTTCCCTCTGCAAATGTCGAACCCCCTTAAACCGACTCATTTCCTGGCCAGTTGAGCATTAAAGAAGCAAAAACTGCTTGCAATACAAGTGTCATGGCTACATGACGCGTGGCCTTCTAATATAACAACACGTTTGCTTTAATAAGTTCTGTGTTTTTAAACCTGTTTTGACGAAATTCTATGATTTGTTTATTTGATTTTGCGTGATGAGTGTGGCGGGGCTGCAGGGAAAGAATATAGTATAGAAATTTCAACTTTTTAATCTGTATATACTATACAAATGTTTACTTACCAATATTTGTGCATCTGGCTATAATAGTTTGTGAGTTATAAAAGAAGTAAGTCACAAAATCGACAATATGGAAATGGGAGTACTGACAAAAATTATAATCTCCATGTGCGTATCGTATAGAAGATTATTTACTTTAAATTTCAAGCCTTCGTAGTTTTCCAGGTCGATGCGTTCTAAAAGACGGACGTGATTAAATAGAATCGACTTGTCCTGATCAGAAATATTCTATTTATTATGGTTGTGCAGATGCTTCTTTATTCCTTTTCACAAAAACATACCGCTTTTACTATTTTTAAATGGGTTGAAGGTATATAATATCCTGAGAATTTAATTACGCTTGAAAATTAAATTCAAATGTGATTATTTTCTGTCTGACAGATACTTGACGTGATGGGGTGTGGTATCATAAATAAACTTAATTTTCTTAACGTTTTCTTTCCCAAATAGTATAATACGATTGTTCGAAAATATTTTTAGGTAAACTAAAAGAAGAAGTTACAAAAAGCGGTATTTCATAAAGTCCCTTCGCCAAACTTCGCTAAAAATGTTGCTAACATTAATAGAGAACAATATTAAAAACAGGAATGGAAGCTTCTAAACCTATAGCTTACACCTGCTTTTATACAAACCTTTTTTTTAGATTGATTGTTCCTATTATAGCCATATAAAAAAGTAGTCCAATTTGATGTGGTTTTTTAGATATGTTTGGGACTAGTAAAGATCGCAGTTGCTGAGTTCAAAATATGTTTAAAACAGAAACTGTTCAGACGGCTGGACATGGCTATATCAACTCGGCTGTTGATGCGAATCTAGTACATATATACATAATGGAGTCGGATGTCTCCTATGCGTTATACATTTCATAACAAAATTGTTATGATAATAATAAATAAGTAAGAAAAAATGTGAAAATCGTTATTGGTTAGTTTGTCTAAAATGTCTTGAAAAACATGTTTGTAGTTTTTGTTATATGTGCAGATAAAAGTCTACGCATAAATCCAATTTTGTCCGTTGTGTGTCCGTAGATCTGTTTTTCTTAACCCTTCTACTACGTGGAAGTACTATCATCAAAAATATGACTGGGCGAATTTAGTAATTCTGCTTGGACCAACTTTGGCTAGTTCACTTAAATTGTTGACTAAAGTAGTCGGTATCTTTTGTTATCCAGTCAGTGGATGGAAGAAGCAGAAGAAATGCTCAACATGTTCTTTATCTCTGCAGCTGCGCCAAAAGTCGTTATATGGGGCTTGCAGTGTTATATCTGCTCCCCGATTTCGCAATAGCCAGTAGAGCTCTGGCGAGCACTAATGCTGATTGAGTTTGCAATGGAGCGAGCCTGTTTTGTCTTGTAATGAAATAGCGTGGTCTGTTCTGCTAGTGTTTATTGGCATTACCTTTGATATGACTTCGTAGGAGTTTAAAATTTGCGAAGAGCATAAAAGTTCCGTCTCTATCGTTAAAGAAAGTATCGTGCCTCGTCTGGGTTAATCCGCCGCAATTCAGTTTCCACTGCTGTCTTGGAGGCCAGGCATTCATACTAGGCTGATGTCGTACTGCCCATATAGTGTAGAGATTTACGTTAGTATTCGATTTTGTTGTTGTCGCTATTATTCTTGATCTCTGGTATTTCAACAGGTTTAGATGCCAAATATGCCCAGAAAATTTTATAATAATCGGACAATAAACACCGGAACTTAAGAGTAAATAAAGCGGCTTAAGAAAGAAGAATCTCAGCTGCGGAGCAAGCATGCGTGTGTATTTTTGAATATATATGTATGTATGCTCGTAACTCCCTATGTATTATTTATTATTTGCATGCTTCAGTAAAGATCCTAACCA